CCCTCTCTTCCCCCATACACCCTGCACCCTGTCACCCTCTCTTCCCCCATACACCCTGCACCCTGTCACCCTCTCTTCCCCCATACACCCACCCTGTCACCCTGTCACCCTCTCTTCCCCCATACACCCACCCTGTCACCCTGTCACCCTCTCTTCCCCCATACACCCTGCACCCTGTCACCCTCTCTTCCCCCCCACACCCACCCTGCACCCTGTCACCCTCTCTTCCCCCATACACCCTGCACCCTGTCACCCTCTCTTCCCCCATACACCCTGCACCCTGTCACCCTCTCTTCCCCCATACACCCTGCACCCTGTCACCCTCTCTTCCCCCATACACCCTGCACCCTGTCACCCTCTCTTCCCCTCCACACCCACCCTGCACCCTGTCACCCTCTCTTCCCCCATACACCCACCCACCCTGTCACCCTCTCTTCCCCCCACACCCTGCACCCTGTCACCCTCTCTTCCCCCATACACCCTGCACCCTGTCACCCTCTCTTCCCCCATACACCCACCCTGTCACCCTGTCACCCTCTCTTCCCCCCACACCCTGCACCCTGTCACCCTCTCTTCCCCCCCACACCCTGCACCCTGTCACCCTCTCTTCCCCCATACACCCACCCTGTCACCTTCTCTTCCCCCATACACCCTGCACCCTGTCACCCTCTCTTCCCCCATACACCCACCCTGCACCCTGTCACCCTCTCTTCCCCTATACACCCACCCTGTCACCCTCTCTTCCCCCATACACCCTGCACCCTGTCACCCTCTCTTCCCCCATACACCCTGCACCCTGTCACCCTCTCTTCCCCCATACACCCTGCACCCTGTCACCCTCTCTTCCCCCCCACACCCACCCTGCACCCTGTCACCCTCTCTTCCCCCATACACCCACCCACCCTGTCACCCTCTCTTCCCCCCCACACCCTGCACCCTGTCACCCTCTCTTCCCCCATACACCCTGCACCCTGTCACCCTCTCTTCCCCCATACACCCACCCTGTCACCCTGTCACCCTCTCTTCCCCCCACACCCTGCACCCTGTCACCCTCTCTTCCCCCCCACACCCTGCACCCTGTCACCCTCTCTTCCCCCATACACCCACCCACCCTGTCACCCTCTCTTCCCCCATACACCCACCCACCCTGTCACCCTCTCTTCCCCCATACACCCTGCACCCTGTCACCCTGTCACCCTCTCTTCCCCCCCACACCCTGCACCCTGTCACCCTCTCTTCCCCCATACACCCACCCTGTCACCTTCTCTTCCCCCATACACCCTGCACCCTGTCACCCTCTCTTCCCCCATACACCCTGCACCCTGTCACCCTCTCTTCCCCCATACACCCTGCACCCTGTCACCCTCTCTTCCCCCATACACCCTGCACCCTGTCACCCTCTCTTCCCCCATACACCCACCCACCCTGTCACCCTTTCTTCCCCGCCCACACACACCCTGCACCCATCACCCCCTCTTCTCCCAATACCCTGTCACCCCCTCTCCTCCCCGCACACTCACCCTGCGCCTCTTGGTTCTGAGGACTCAGGACCTCAGACGCAGTCATCTTTCTAGCCCGTTTCCCAGGACTTCAGGGTTGCCATAGGGGCCACCAGGCTGCATCACCGTAGGACTTCCCGGGGTGTTTCCAGAATTCCCTGTCATTGTGAGGTCAATACAACCTGGCCATGATGAATGCATGGTAGCCTCTATTCTACACCTGGTAGACGCCTCCCCCTTTCCAGAGTGCCCCTGCTCCAACCCTCCCTCCACCACCCTAAACCATGAGTTGCTACCACCTTCAGCAACCCTGCCTGCCAGTGCCGGTGTGGGTGGAGGGTGCCAGGGTCCTGGGAAGGACAGGACTTCCTAGTGACCTGGATGGAGTCTGTGGCTTCTCTTGATGGGATTTAGTGTTTAACAGCAAGGCCTAACTTCTTAGCAGAGGTTGTCCTTCCCAGTCACCTCAGAGGGGGACTTCACCAGCTGCAGAACAGTCCAGCTCCTCTGGGCTCTTCCCCAGATGGTCACAAGCATGCTTTGGCTCTGGTTCTTGACTTCTAGTCTTTGCGTCCCTCCTCTCCCTTGCACACCGCGCTGCCACCTCCTCTTCCTCCTCCTCCTCCTCCTCCTCCTCCTTCTTCCTTTATTTTGCCAGTCGTGGTGTTTGAACTCAGGGCCTGGATGCTGTCTGAGCTCTTTTGCTCAAGGCTAATGCTCTACCACTTTGAGCCACAGTGCCACTTTAGGTTTTCTGGTAAATTGGAGATAAGAGTCTCATGGACTTTCCTGCCTGGGATGGCTTTGAACCATGATCCTCAGATGTCAGCCTCCTGACTAGCTAGGATTACAGGCCACAGGTGCTTGGCTTGCTTATTTTTTTAAATGTTCATTATTATTAAGGTATTATAGAGAGAGGTTACCATTTTCACAATTCATGTAATGTGTACATTTCCTTTTGGACAATATCACCCCTTCCTTTCCTTTCTCCAGGTTTCTCCCTCCTGTCCCTGCCCACAAGTCATATAGCTATTTTCTACAGTGTCTACTGAATATCATGATTGCATTTGTTCATCCTTCTTCATTCCCTTTCTGTACCCCTTCCTTGCACCCCTAAAGAAAAAAATCCCACCACTGACAACAACAACAACAACAATAAAAACATGTTTCCATTTCCTAGAATTTGTTTCAATAAACAGCCTTATAAATGTTCCGAGGAGCTACACCTTTGGGTTCATCCCCTAAGAATCTCCTCCTTTAGTCTGACTATGTGTGTGTGATGCCTAGAGTCCTATATAGGTTATTATATCCAGTTATATTGTAGATCACAGTTGCTTATTATTGAGCAGGGAGGAGTCTAACACTAACCACTCAGTGTGTATGGAAGAGGAAGTTTCTAGGCATTGGTATTTACTTTCAAAGGCCCTGATTGCAGTGTGAGTCTGGGCTCAGAAGCCCTTGTTCTGGTGTAGCCTGGCCTGGCCCCTTCCTCTGGTTTCCAGACCTTCCCTCTATCTGGGAGTGGGGAAGGGCAGCAGGATGGTGGTGGCCGAGGAGTTTGTGCAGCAACCCTTGGACTCTAGTAAGATTTGACTCTTGTTCCTGGAGAGTTGCAGCCATGGACTGACAATGTCTGATTTCTTTTGGGAAAAGCAGACTCATGGTTGGGAGGGAATGGAGGAGATGGTGAAGAGGGATATGGATGGTATTTGAATCCCGGATGACACACTGTCCCATCCTTCCAGGACTTGCATCCAGCTTTTGAAGTTCTGTACTGTAAACTCTCAGTGCCGGCACACTGGGAGGACAGCTGTTAGCTCTCAGTCTAGGTGTGGGGCCTGTCACTGATTGACTGGGCAGGCTCTTGGGGCAGTACTCCGAGCTCCATACATGGAAATCAGCAATTACACAGTTCTTTTACCCCATTCCACTCACAGCTTGCCCAGATTTTGTAATCAGGGTAGGTGGACATTGCATCTCTCCATTCTAAGCCAACTTCAGCAGAAGGCTGACGTGACCACTCATCTAACCTCACACAGTAAGCGAAGCAACAAGGGCCACTGCACCCCATAACCTGAAACGTTTCCTGAGCGTCATAGAGCTCATCTGTGAAAGTGATATTAAGCTATTAGAATGAGCACCTAAGCCATGAGTTTTGATGTTGTTCTTTTAGGAGAGGGCGTAAATGTTATTTTTAACTAATTTACACATTTTACTGTCTTTAGTTGTACAAGAGGGTTAGAGTTCAACGTGTTACTTTGTGAGTACAATGCATCTTGATCATTGTCACCCCTCTTATCCCCGTCTCTCTCAACCCACCTATCCCCTCAAGTTACCCAACTCCATTTTCAGAGTATGAGGACTGCCTTTGTTCATCCTTCTTCTCTCCATCCATGTACCCACCCCTAGAAAACACATGTTGCAGCTTCCTGGCACTCATTTTGTTGAACTGTAAGTTAGTTTTTCAAAGGAGTTATGCCATTGGCATCTTCCTGTGAATCCCGTACTTCAGTTAATACGTTTGTGTATATATGCACATAACCCTGTATATGTTCACATATGTGTGTGTGTGTGTGTGTGTGTGTGTGTGTGTGTGTGTATATGTATATGGAAATACGTTTTGACCTGAGCTGCTCATCCCCAAACACAGCGTCCTCTTGCAGATGTAGCACTCTTCATATGGACTCCATGGGACTCCCTGCTTCAGGGAGGGCCCCTCTTGGGCCAGCAGGAGCCTGGGGCAGCCCAGGTGAGAGGCCCAGATGTGGTGACAGACTCGTCCAAAAGAGCTTTCTGCTGCCATTGGTAGTTGGGCACAGGGCACACTGCCCTTTAGGGGGGAGGGGAAGCTGAGGAGCCCCCACCGCCAATACCTCACTGTCACCAGCCTGGCCAGTCTGTGCAGGCCCTGGGCAGGACAGACGCTCAGTGGCATCTGACTGTGCAGGTGCCCCACCCTGATAGCCTTGGCTGCCAGCAAGGCTCTGAGGAAAGGCAGCTTTGCCAGAATTCGCCGTGTGGCATTTCAGTTTTGTGGCCACACCTCAGCCACCTCCTCTTGTCCCATCATGGCCTCCTGTGATCAGGTGTGGGCAGGACAGGGCACCGGCTGCTCTGCTCAGTGTGCAGTTGGAGGCAGACAGCTTATACCTGTGTCCCCATGAACACATAGTACGGTGTGGATGGGAGCAGCATGTTGGGTGATCCAGGCTGGCATACAGGGGCACACACAGTCTGAGACCGGGGAGGAGGGAGCCCCAGCTAGTACCAGGGCATGCTGGCTGAGCCCAGGTGGCCCATGACTAGGCATTGAGCACAGCCTGTAGTGTGAGTGCCTGGTTCTTGTCTGAGATGTCTGCTTCTGCTTCTGGTCCCAAAGTCTGAGATATGGGCAGGGCTGCTGCCAGGGAGAACCATCCTGTTGCCATTCTGCCCATTTCTATGGTAACCGCAGATCTGTACCCTGCTTGCACGTGTGATTGTGTTCTGTTCTCCTTGTAGATGGAGGAGATAAAATTTAAAGACAGAGCAGTCTTCGTGCTGGAGAGAGAGTTAGGGGTACAAGCCGGGCATGCCCAGAGACTGCAGCTCCAGAAAGAGGCTCTAGATGAGCAGCTCTCCCAGGCCAAAGAGGCTGAGAGGCACCCGGGCAGCCCCAGACGAGAACTTCCTTATGCAAGCGGTGCAGGAGACGCCTCAGACCACTCGGGAAGCCCTGTAAGCACCCCCAGGCCTCAACCAACCGGTCAGCCCCAGGCCATGGGCACACAGCACCCTGTGGCCATTCCGCCCCGCATGGCAGTGCCCTTGGAGTTCCGGCTCCCAGTGCCCTCGGCTGGCTGGGCTTATCTGGCTCAGACTGAAAGGGCTGACAGGCTGTTCTCCTTTCTCAACACAGCACTGCCTTGTCACCAGCTGCCCCCACTATGGTCCCAGGTTGCTGAGGGTCCTGGCACTTGCTGGTCATTGCTCCTGCCTGTGGCTGCTGGAGAAGGATGAGCTCCAAGCATATGCTGCTTCTGTCCCTGTGCGCACGGGCTCTGGCTCCACACTGGCCCACGTCTTTGGCTTAGCCCCTCGTGTGGTTGTCTCTGACACTCACATCTCCATCACCATCCCTGCTTCCCCTGTGACCATGCCCCTCCATGCCTCTCCACTCCTTGGACTGCTGATGATGCTGGTATGCTCAGGGCAGCCAGTGGCCTTATGGCTGTAAGTCCATCCATCTCATGTTGTGCCTCATTCAGATTCCTGTGTAGTGATCTACCATGTCCTCTCAGTGCCATCCCTCCAGGCCTTTAGTCCCTAGCCTCTCCTGCACCCTTTGAATGAGGAACTCTTGCTGGATGTCCTTTTGTTTGCTTAAAGACAAAATTTTGAGCTGAGCCAGTCCTGGGCCAGTGACATAGCAACAACAGAACAGACAAGAGTATTTGTGATCATACTGTAAACAGTGTAGCTGATTCAGAGCCAGCCTTCGATCTGGTACTGCATGAAATGCTGTGCTAACTCTAGAGGGATCAAACATGGGCTCAAAAGTTTTCCCCAGTGTCAAATGCAGCTCCCATGGTCCCACAGTTCCAGAGCGATCTTTTACAAACTCAGCTTCAGGGAGCAACTTCTTGGAAAAGCAGCTTGAGAAAGTCAGCAAGGAGCAGCTTCTCCTGTCTTCAGCCTGTGTGGCAGGGGCAGTGCCAGGAAAGCATGCCGCCAGTCCTGACCCGCGCTCCCACTCCCACCCCTGCCTCCACCTTCCCACCCCCTGGCATTCCTGCTTCGGTCCTGTCCCATCATGCAGTTTGCTATGCATGGGCTCCCTGCCAGGAGGAGCCAGGCCACCTGCAGCCACTTGGGAGCCAAGGCCGTAACCGTGTATAGGGACTTGGTTTCCGTAGTTGGAGTTTGCGCAAGTTTCTGTGCCTGTGTCTAAGAACAGTTATTTGCAGTTGATTTTTGTTTTAGGAACAGCAGTTGGATGAAAAGGATGCCCGGCGCTTCCAACTTAAAATCGCAGAGCTAAGTGCCATCATTCGTAAACTGGAAGACCGTAACGCCTTGCTGTCGGAAGAGAGGAATGAGCTGGTGAGTTGTGAGTGGCGGGCGGAGGTGTTGGGATGGCAGGGACCACATTCCGACAAGGAAAGCCTCACTATCAGAAGCCGCTGGGGGCCAATCTCCACACCACACGCACCCTGCTGGTTGCTGTTCTATGCACTGTACCTGCCGGGCAAAGGTAGCCTGAATTCTTCACCTGTCTTGATGTGGGAAGACGCTGGCCTCCACGGAGCTGCGCCACTGAGACTTTCCAGTGACCTGAGCTCCCAGAAGGTGAATGGACAGCTCAGAGAAGCCAAGAGGCTTCTTCTATTTTACAGTAGCTCCTGTGGTAACACACTAGCCTTCATCCCTGTCTAAAGACAGAAAAGGACTCTAATTCACCTGGACACTGGTCAGGTAGAGGGCAGTAGCCGGTGGACTCTACCTGCAGCCCTGCCATGCTTTACTCTGTAGATACAGTTGGCCCTTGGGCACAGCCAGCTGTGTGTGTATGTTCAGAGACAAAATATTATAGCCCATTTTCTGGACCTCCCTGTGTAGCCTTGGCAAGCCTCAAACACAAAATCCTCCTGCCTCTGCCTCTTGAGTACCAGGTAAACAACCACAACCACAAACCACCACACACACCTGGCCAAAAAACACTGGATATTCATCTGTACTGAGCATACACAGGCTGTTTTTATTCTCTAAATAACTGTTCCCACAATACTTACTTTGCACTAGGTACTGTGCACAGTCAGATAACCCCAAGCACTCAGGAGGATGGTGCAGATTGGATACAAAGTCTACTCTACTTTACAGAAGGGACCTAAGCACTGGACATGCAGAGCTCTGAGTGTGTCCTGGACCTGGTCCCTGTGGTCACAGGCCCTTCTTCTTCTTCTTCCTCCTCTTCTCCTTCTCCTCTTCTTCCTCCCCTCCTCCTCCCCTCCTCCTCCTCCTCCTCCTCCTTCTTCTCCTTCTTCTCCTTCTTCTTCTTCCTCTTCTTCCTCCTTCTCCTCCTCCTCCTCCTCCTCCTCCTCCTCCTCCTCCTCCTCCTCCTCCTCCTCCTCCTCCTCCTCCTCCTCCTCTACTTCCTCTTCCTCTTCCTCTTTGTCTTTTCTTTCTGATGGGGCACAGGCCTTTAATCTGCTCAATTTGTTTGCTCTGTGTAGAGGCCATATCAATTTCCCATCATGTAAAGAAACTCACATTATACAACTAACTTTTCTTTCAGTTGAAACGTTTAAGAGAAGCTGAAAGTCAGTATAAGCCATTGCTAGAAAAAAACAAACGCCTCACTCGGAAAAATGAAGACTTGTCTCACACTTTACGACGCATAGAAAGCAAGTTGAAGTTTGTCACTCAGGAGAACATGGAAATGGTGAGTGGCAGGCAGGTCAGTGGGAGTGGCCTGGGCCTCCGGCCAGCAGTGCCCCTCACATCTCTGATTTAAGAACAGCAACACATCTGCTTCTCTGTGTGACTGCATGATTTAACAAGCCACCAGCGGGGCTCAGGCATCTGGGCCTTAAGCTCAGGGTCTGGTCCCTTGTGTGTTTGTGGGCAAGAAAGCAAGGCCAGCCAGTGCTAGGTATGAGGCCTCAAGCAAGGACAACCACGCGAAGGTAGAGCCTAGTGTCCTCTGGGCCCCTAAGCTGACCACACACCCTCCCCACTGCCTACAAGATGCTTGGGAAAGACAGCTGTCGGCTCTGAAAATCCAGATGAAGGTAACAGAGACCCCAGAACCCCAGCATGAGAGAGACAGAGGAGGGAGCCGGCCTGGCCTGGAGCACTGACAGGGAGGAGTGCTGGCCACTGAGAAACTGCAGTGCAGGTGCTCTTTGTGTGTTCCTCAGGCCTGAAGCCCCAGAGCCCAATGGGCAAGTTTTAGGAAGACTGGACAGAGGATCAGGAGCAGGTGTAGAAGCAGGCGAGGGGGAGGCAGAGGGAGCAGGGCCAGGGGTGGGGGCAGGAGCACCCTCAGTCCCCCCCCCCCACGGGTGAGCTCAGTCCCCCAGCCCACAGGTGCGTCCCCCCATCTCTTCAAACCTGAGCTGAAGTAGCAGTGAGTCTAGAATAGGCATGGGACATGAAACAGAATGGGTACAGATGGCTCATACTCAGGGCGTAGCTGTATCCCTGCGTGGCCAGGCTTTCTGGGAGGCTATGGATGCCCACGTGTGGTATCCTGGCTGCACAGTCTGCCGCTCACCATGGGATTGGCCAGGACCCAGGCCTGAGTGTCCACCAGCCTCTCCAGCTGGCTGCTCCTGGGCCTGGACAGGGGACCTGAGCAGCTGGTGCGGCCAGCGGGGTAGGTCCTTCACATCCCTCCATCCATTTCAGCCCCGTCACTGTTGGTGTTTCAGAGGCAGAGAGCTGGGATCATCCGGAGGCCCAGCTCCTTAAATGACCTTGACCAAAGTCAGGATGAGCGAGAGATTGACTTCCTGAAGCTTCAGATCCTGGAGCAGCAGAACCTCATTGACGAGCTTTCCAAGGTGAGGCTGGCTGTGGCTTCTTCCTCCGGGGCTTCAGGGCGGACGTGGGTGGGGAAGGGTGGCAGGGCCATCTCACACTGGCTCCCCAGCCCGCTGTGGTCACTGCTCCAGGGGGCCTTCCTGGGTAGGTCTCTGTCCCTGTGATGCTCTCCTGACACCCAAGGCACTCCCAGGCCAACAGCACTGCCTCTTAGTAACAGATCGTCATCGGTTAGCATGCCTGCTATTCTCTCAGGGTTCTAGAGCTACAAGTCCAAAGCCAAGGTGTGGGTGGGTGTGCACCCTCCAGAAGCTCTGGAGGGGGTCTCTTCTCTCCCCTGGGCAGCCAGGGAAAGAAGCAGGATCTCCTGGCACTCCCGTTTCTAGCTCTGTGTTGTGGCTTCCCTCCTCTACTGTCCCCTGTAGGCATTGGGCTTAGGACGCACCCTAGTTCAGAATGATCTCATCTCAACATCCCTTACTCAATGACGCCTAAAAAGACCTTTCAGTTCAGGTCCATTCATAGGTTCTGGACTACAGGTACACTTCTGGGCGAGGTCACTGTGCGACTCACTCCAAGGCCGTGTCCTTGTCCCTTGTGCTGCTGCTCAGGTGTGCACATTGCAGGTCATGACATTCTACAGTCACCCCAGGGGGGGACCTTCTGCCCTTGTAGGGTCCTGGGTGAGCCCATGCTGAGGTCATTTGATAACAAGCTGTCTTTGGCTATTCTGTGTCCTTTAGAAAACAGCAGTGTCCTGTCCCCTGCCCCCCCCCCCCCCCCCGCAGTGACTCACCAGGACCACACAGCTGCAGGCAGCACTGTGGCAGCCTTGCCTGGCCCTACCTGGATCTGAGATCCTTCCTCATTCAGTGACCCAGCTGCTGCTAACTATTTGACAGGGAAATAGGAAGAGAGTAGGATCTTGGATCACATGTATACATGATTTCAGTTTCCTCTAGGCCTCGCTCTCCTGCTCTGAGTGAGGGAAGGCCCACCCTTCCTAAACAGGTTCCTAGTGCCCAGAAAGGTGCTCAGGTGGCCCTCTTCAAATGGGCCTAACAAAGAAGGAAGGACTGTTGGGCCAGACTCTCCCTCTTGGTCAGCGGTGCATGACCCCGAGGACTCTGTAGTAACTTGATTCTGCGGTTAGGGTGAGGAATTGGGTGCTACTCCAGGACTCTGCCAGCCCTTTCAGATCCGGGCCTGCCTGGTCAGGTCCATGACACGCTGTTTTCTTTCCTAGACCCTGGAGACAGCTGGCTATGTGAAGAGCGTGTTAGTGAGTACTGACCACCATCTCTCCTTTCTGGATGCTGACCTTGCCCTGTGTGCATCTGTAGCCCCATTCTGGCTGGTGCTTCCTCTCTTCCTGGGCAGTGGCCGCCTTGGGTGCCCTTCCTCTCGGCCCAGGTGGTGCATGGGTTGGGAGCTATCACAGTGCTTGCTTCCTGACCAAGGCTTTTCTGTGGTGAGGCCAGAAGGAGCAATGCCCAGATGAGATGGGCACTCTGGGGATTATATTCCTGAAGGCCAGAGTCAGGGGGACGTCCCCTCTGGGCTCTCACTCCCTATGGATTCTTCTAGGCAGCAGGGATGGGTGGTAGTCACCTGACTGGCAAGAGGCAAGACAGTTTGTATCCCTGCAGTAAGCAATCTGCCCACAGCGACTCAGGAACTTGGTCTCCACGCAATGGTGCTTCCCGAGTGGGAGGGGCTTGGGCTGTGTCCTCCAAGTCCCTCACCCCTCTCTCCATACACACTGAAAGTGATGATTGCACAGGTGGCGGAGAAGAGCTGAGCCACCCTCCTTGCACACGCTATGGTCACATCAGTAATCTGCCTGCTTGCGCCATCTGTGGCAGCCCCGGTGACGAGGCAGAAACTCTGTCCCTGCATCTCACACGTGAGCCAGCTACTTACAGAACTTCTTCAACTGGTATTTTCAGGAACGTGATAAGCTGCTAAGATATCGGAAACAAAGGAGGAAGATGGCGAAACTCCCCAAGGTAAAGGAGGAAACGTTGGCTCACAGCTATCAGATGAATTTCTAAGCAGGCACCAGTGGCTCATACCTGTAATCCTAATTACTCAGGAGGCTGAGATCTGAGGATCGTGGTTCAAAGCCAGCCAGAGCAGGAAAGTCTGTGAAATTCTTATCTCCAATTAACCACCAGAAAACCAGAAGTAGAGCTATGGCTCAAGTGGTAGAGCTCTAGCCTTGAGCAAAATAGCTCAGGGACAGCACCCAGGCCCTTAGTTCAAGCCCCATGTTCAACAGCAACAACAACAAAAACCCAGTTTGTAAAAGCTGCTTAACAGAAAAGAATCTCTTTCTTTGTAGAGAAAAAGAAAACAATTTTAGGACTTTTCAAAATGGTTACTACAAAATAGGACTCACATGGTCTGTTTGTAATTTCAAATTATGTTAATTGAGCTCAGATTAACCTAGCAGAAAACTAAGAATTATGTTTATTTGGGGTTTATTAGAGCTACAATTACAAAACAAATTCCATTGAAATGGGCCCCTCAGTTTTACAATTTTTACCTGACCGTGGTTGTGTTCACAGCTCAATCAGGAGGGGGCGTTAATTCACTTGCTGTCAGGAATTTAGGGTTTAGGCAGAGTTTTAAGAAAGGGGCTGACCTGGCCTCTCCGTGGGCACTCTGTGGAAGCAGTGAGGGCTCACAGCTGTCATAAAAAGCATGACCTGGGTTCCAGACATTGCCTTTTGGCCAGTTCAGGAGGTCAGCATTTTCCCTGTTACACGCAATGGCTCAGTTCAGCAGCTAAGCCTGGGACCTGGTCCAACAAGGCCCAGTCCACTTTCACAACCCGGCCAGTGCTGCACATATGGACTTCCCTCCTCAGCCAGTGCAAAATCCCAGCCTTGACTCCGGGGGAGATGTGATTTGTAGGCACAATCATAGTATTGAGGATGCAGAGCCAGTAGCTACAAGACACCGCTCTCCTCTCTGCCCTGTGCAGGATTCACACCCAGGTCTCTGAGGCTGTACGCTTGGAGGACTGCAGGCTTGCCTCCTTCCCTCGGGTTTATCAAGGAAACATGGAGACTCTGGGACTAGTGTGCCACCCTTTCAGACAAACCTGTGACTTTCATGTAGGGCGTTTTGGGAGCCATCCCCAAGGTCCTTTGGTGCCCTTCCTGCAGTGTGTGTGTATGGTTTGCAGTTGCTCTGTGGTGCACCTCCAGCAGCCACCAGCTCTTCCTTAGCCGTGGACACAGGGAAGGATCTCAGCCACTTTGGGTGTTTGGAAATTGTCTGGAAGCTCCACTGAGTAATGCCTAAGCAGTCCCAGAGCTTCTGAGAGAAGGGGGAGGGAGATGAATTCAAATAAAAGGCCTTAGGGATGATCAGTCTGCCTAGAGACGGGCTGCACAAGGCACCAGCTTGTGTACGCACTGGTCAGTGATGGCAGGAATACTGAGGGGCCAAGGAGGGCCTGGGGTGGCAGGAGGAGGCCAGAGGGTAGATGAGCAGAGCTGGAAATTTGGTGAGAGAGCCTCAGGTTAGTGCTTGCTCAACTTGGCCATTTCCTGCATGCTCTGTGGAGAAGCTTGGAAAATATTGGGGTGCAGAGAAAGCCTTTCTCAGAGTCTGGGGCTCCACTCACCAAGGAGAGGTGGCGACTCAGTGAGAGAGGCGTGGGGAGGAGGATGGCCAGAGCCCTGCTGGGCAGAGGCTGAGGAGGTGGGCGCCCATGGGTTGGCCTGAACCACAATCCTCCTGTTTATACTTCTTGAGTAGTTGGAATGTCAGGTGCATGCCACCATGCCCAGGTTTTCTGTTGAGATGCAGTCTTGAGGACTTGTTTTGTCTGGACTGGCTTGAAACTGATCTTCCTGATCTCAGCATCCCAAGTACCTAGGATGACAGATAAGAGCCATCACACCCAGTTCGACGATGAAACCTAAGGCTTTTGAAGGCAAGCAGTATGGGGAGTCTGGAGGCCCACGAAGGCAGGCCTTCTCAAGCTAGCTGATAGAGAAGCCATTTTGTTTAATCCAATCTATTTGGTTATAAAACACAACAGAAGTGTGTGACTGTGACGGGAGCACCCAGAGCAGAGGGACTCACTGTCCACAGACACTCTCTGTGTCTGCCCAGTGTGCATGAAGGTCATGTCTGGACCTTTCTACTTTTTACTGTTATTATATAGTGGTGTACAGAGGGTCACAGTTACACAAGTCAGGTAGCAAGTACATTTCTTTTTGGACAAGGCCACCCCTTCCCTTGGTCTTTCCAAGATTTTCCCTCCCATCCCCACCCACAAGTTGTATAGTTCATTTTCAACATCTGTTCCCCCTTCGTCCCTCCATTTCTGTCCTGGGGCCTCTTTCTACATAGGACTGTAGACCGCTTTCCTGCTCTCCCCCATCTCTGGTTCCCTTCCCCACTGCACACCCCCTCCACCTCCTGTCCTGTCCTCCACTGCCCTCCCCCTCCCCCTCCTGTCCTGCCTCTTGTTCCCAGTCCTCCATTCCCTTTCCATCTCTCCACTTCCTATTTCTCCCTTGTTTCCAGTTCCAACTGGCTCCCATATGGACAGCAGCAGCTCCCCAGGGCTGTTGCAGACAGCAGTGGGATTGTGAGGGGGCCTTTCCACGGGAACCAAGCCTTGGCCCCCACACTTGGGCAGCAGGAAGGGATGGCAGGAGGAGGCCTAGGGGTGCAGGCCAAGCCTGGTCTGGGTTTGCACAAACACGTGGCATTTTGGTCCTAGCCGGTTGTGGTGGAAACCTTCTTTGGGTATGATGAAGAAGCTTCCCTGGAGTCAGACGGCTCTTCCGTTTCCTACCAAACTGACAGGACTGACCAGACCCCGTGCACGCCCGATGACGACCTCGAGGAGGTGAGTGCCAGGGCTTGTGGGACGGATGTGGGACCGTGTGAGGCATGAGGCCGCAGGACTGCAGGCACTGCTCACTCGGGGCAGAGAGCTGTGTGAGCCACCGTGGTAGGACTTACTTCTGCACGGTGAGGAGCCCTCCGCCAGTCTGCACTGTGGGCTGTAGAGGGTCACTCCTTCCTTCCACCATGGAGCTCAGCCTCTCCAGTGCAGAGGGTACTGAGGGCTCCCACCCTTTTACAGCATGCCCAGGAAGGTGGTGCCACACATGGGAAGTGCCTGCCTGCCTGCCTGCTTGCCTGCCTGCCTGCTTTCCTTCCTTCCTTCCTTCCTTCCTTCCTTCCTTCCTTCCTTCCTTCCTTCCTTCCTTCCTTCCTTCCTTCCTTCCTTCCTTCCTTTCCTCCCTCCCTCCCTCCCTTTCCTCCCTCTCTCCTGCCAGTCCTGAGACTTGGACTCAGGGCCTGGGCACTGTCCTGAGCTTTTGTGCTCAAGTCTAGTGCTCTACCACTTGAGCCACAGCTCTACTTTCAGCTTTTTTTTTTTTTTTTTTTTTGTCATGGGGCTTGAACTCTGGGCTTGGGCGCAGTCCTTGTGCTCTTCAGCTCAAGGCAAGTGCTCTACCACTTGAGCCACAGCACCACTTCCAGCGGTTTATTGGAGATAAGAGTCTCACGAATTTTACTGCCAGGGCTGGCTTTGAACCACGATCCTCAGATCTCAGCCTCCAGAGTAGCTAGGATTACAGGCGTGAGCCACCGGCGCCCAGCTTACTTTCAGCTTTGGTGCTTAATTGGAGATCAGAGTCTCCTGGACTTTCCTGTACAGGCTGACTTCAAACCATGCTCCTCAGACCTCAGCCTCCTGAGTAGCTAGATTATAGGGATGAGCCACTAGCGCCTGACAGGTGGCACTGTCTTACTAATAAAAATGCCAAGTGTGCTCCCTACAGCCCCTACTGGCCACCCTCAAGTCCAACTTAGCTGCAGGCCAGAAGCCAGAGTTTGCATTGTTGGAACAGACTGCTGTGAGCAGCCTAGCCACGTGGCCTCTCCTCCCTTGTCCATCTGGAAGCCTCTTCCCTGACTTCACCCAGAAGAGCAGCAGCCCCAGCTGTGCAGGGTACTGCTGGGCTGTGGGGCCCCTCTGATGCTGCCTACCCCCCTCTCTGCAGGGCATGGCCAAGGAGGAGGCAGAGCTGAGGTTCCGGCAGCTGACCATGGAGTACCAGGCGCTGCAGAGAGCCTACGCCTTGCTGCAGGAGCAGGTCGGAGGGACGCTGGACGCAGAGCGAGAAGTTAAGGTCTAGATGACTTCTACTCCGTGACATTCCAGCGTGCTAGGCTCCTTCTGCTTCTCCTGGGCTCCTGGCGGGGACACTGCTAGCGGCAACCTTGCTGCTGGGCTCCCAGGTGGTGCTCACTGAGGCTATAAAACACTTGGTTTTGCCAAGTCTGGCCTGGGGTACCATATGTGCCATACCGCGGTGGGTGAGGGTCTGTGCACTAACCCTGCTGCGCACGGGCCTGAAGCCCTGGAAAGAAGCCACTGCTGTTCCATGAGCAACTCTGCCTGGCACGGGGATGACATGGAAACTCCTTTTTGGGGTTTGCTAAGATTATTCTTTCAAGGTTTGAGCTCAGACATGGGCTGCCTTTATCCTGAGCCTGGCTGGCAGGTCCCTCCTGCCAGCTCCACTGGACACTCCCTGGGCAGCAGGCAGCATCAAGACATGGCTGGTGGGGGGAGGGGCAGGAGCCCCGCTAGCCACTGGAGGCTGTGCTGGCACCCGGCTGCAGGGAGAGGAGCTGGGAAGGGGCCTCTGGCTGTCAGTACTTCTGCCCCTCAGCCCCCTACCCCCCCCATGCCTGTGCCCCACGCCCCCATGCCACCCCCCCACGCCCCGCACCCTCCTGTGCCACCCCTCCACACCCCACCCCCATGCCCCACGCCCCCATGCCACCCCCCACGCCCTGCACCCTCCTGTGCCACCCCTCCACGCCCCACCCCCATGCCCCACGCCCCCCATGCCACCCCCCACGCCCTGCACCCTCCTGTGCCACCCCTCCACACCCCACCCCCATGCCCCACGCCCCCCATGCCACCCCCCACGCCCTGCACCCTCCTGTGCCACCCCTCCACACCCCACCCCCATGCCCCACGCCCACACCCCACACCCCCGTGCTACCCCCCACGCCCCGCGCGCTCCTGTGCCACTCCTCCATGCCCCACACCCCACACCCTGCACCCTCCTGTGCCACCCCTCCATGCCCCACACCCCGCGCCCTCCTGTGCCACCCCTCCATGCCCCACACCCCACACCCCGTGCCCTCCTGTGCCACCCCTCCATGCCCCACACCCCGCGCCCCACACCCCCCCATGCCCACGCCCCACACCCCTGTGCCACCCCCCATGCCCCACGCCCCCCTGTGCCACCCCTCCATGCCCCACCCCCCATGCCCCACGCCCCCCCACGCCCACGCCCCATGCCCCCGTCCCACCCCCCACGCCCCGCGCCCTCCCACACCCACTCCCCACACCCCCGTGCCACCCCCCACGCCCCGCGCCCTCCTGTGCCGCCCCTCCACGCCCCACGCCCCCACGCCCCACACCCTGCACCCCCACGCCCACGCCCCCATGCCACCCCCCACGCCCCGCGCCCTCCTGTGCCACCCCTCCACGCCCCACATCCCGCCCCCCACACCCCCCATGCCCCATGCCACATGCCCCACCGTGCCACCCCTCCATGCCCACACTCCACCCCCCATGCCCCATGCCCCATGCCCCCCTGTGCCACCCCTCCATGCCCACACTCCACCCCCCATGCCCCATGCCCCATGCCCCCCTGTGCCACCCCTCCATGCCCACACTCCGCCCCCCACACCCCATGCCCCATGCCCCCCCGTGCCACCCCTCACGCCCATGCCTCCCCATGCCCCCATGCCCCCCTGTGCCACCCCTCCACGCCCCACGCTCCCCACGCCCCCCCATGCCACCCCTTCACGCCCCACACCCCATGCCCCACGCCCTGCGCCCAGGTGGCAGCTGCTGTGGAGTTGTAGCAAGAGCCACGTAAGAGGCAGGCCACATTCTGGGGAGGCAAAGGCTCTCCTGGGCTGTGGGGCCTTGAGGATAGGATGAACCCACATACCCCACCTGCCTGCAGGGACTCCACCATGTGGGCTGTGGGCTGGATGGAGGGCAGACCTGAGAAGGAGAGGACCCCTAACAGCTCAGCACCTAGCTGCATTCTCCAGGGACCACCTGACCCCTGCTGACTCAGACAGGGTCTGCCCCTGTTTCCTGGGAGTCTTGTGATGGTCCCTGTGTAGAAGTTCCAAGAAAAGGCCTGGTAGGGTGGGGGGGAGGGTCAGACCCACCTGTCCACAGAGGCACTCCCTTCTGGCTTGGAAAGCTGAGATGGCAACAGAAGAGCTGTTTATCTGCATAAAAAGGGACTTCAAGGGTTCCCTCTTTGGATTTTTTTTTCTGGTCCTGGGGCTTGAGCTCAGGGCCTGGGCACTGTCCCTGAGCTTCTTTTGCTCAAGGCAAGCACCCACCACTGAGCCACAGTGCCACCTCTGGCCTTTTCTGTGTATGTGGTTCTGAGGAGCAGAACCCAGGGCTTTGAGCATGCTAGGCAAGCGCTCTACCACTGAGTCACAGTGCCACCTCCGGCCTTTTCTGTATATGTAGTACCGAGGAGTAGAACCCAGGGCTTTGAGCCTGCGAGGTGAGCACTCTACCACTGAGCCACACTCACCACCTCTGGATTTTTTTTTAACCTAAGTTTTGTATAATCCTCAGAAAAAGGAAAACTTATCACGTGATCTCTAAGTTGTTCAGGGCCCGGATCACAGGCTGTGATTCCACCCTGCTCTTTCAAGACTTGTACCTACTGTCTCTATGACACACATCATATACCCTGGAAACTCCACCTGGAGAGAACAGGTGCAGCTATGGTGGTGAGTGCCCGTGCGCAGTGCAGCCTGTCAGGTGCCCATGAGTGGTATGGCCCTAGTGACCGCAAGTTAGGTCAAGGGAGCAACTTCACAAGTGGGGCTCGCTCGTGAACCCAGACAAGGGACAGGCTCTGAGGAAAGTCACATCCGTGTAGTCTGCCATGCAGAAAAGGCAGCAGACCCAGCGTCCTAAGCCAGGGGCAGCAGTGTCCTAAGCCAGGGGCAGCAGGCTGGTTGGCTCCCGCAGATCTGCTCAGACAGCCCCTTTGGGTCATGCCCATCTGGCTGGCACCAGCAGGGTTGAGCACACACAGGGCAAACCACCCTCCAGCTCTTGCACAAGTAAGCAAGGATTTTACCTAGAAGCCCTTAGAATTGATCACAGACATTGCTCCTGATCAATTGCTTTGCACCTTCTTAGCTGAACCCCAGGCAGAGCCCTCCACAGCAGAGTCCTCTGAAGCTCATCCCCATGGGCATGTCTGCCTGCTCTGGCTGTTAGAGAAAATTTGAAGTATCCTTCCTCCCATCCTACAGACCCGTGAGCAGCTGCAAGCAGAAATGCAGAGAGCACAGACTCGGGTGGAGGACCTGGAGAAGGCACTGGCCGACCAGGGCCAGGTGAGCTCCTGTGGGCATCGGTGGAGGCTGACGCCCTCCCCTGTACTGAGGTGTCCCTGAGAACCTGGCACAAGGGGTGCCAGGGCCTTTTCAGGAGGGTGGTGGGCATGGACACATGCATTCGGGGTGGGCACTTTGGTGCATTTGCAGCTTGTGGCTACACTGCGATGGGACTTCTAAACCAGAGGGAACGTCATGGCCGGTGGTGAGCAGGCATCTTGAGCCAGGCCACGGAGGGGCTTGGCCACCAGTCCTCTGAGTCAATGCCAGGATTTCAGGTCCCACAGCCAAACTGCAGGTCCAAGAGGGAGCCCTGAACCGCTTCTCCAGGAGCTGTAGATTTCCTGATCTGGGGTTTCAGGGCACCCATCTTCCCAGTGCAGTGGGCTGCCCAAGGCCAGGTGACACATGTTGCTGGCAGCTTGTCACAATCTCATCCCCACTGTGACTGCCATCTCTGGGCTCTTGTGCCCCCATAAAGGCATGTGCTCCCGGTGGCCCCAAGGCCTGAGCACAACCTCGGAGCTTCAGGACCACGGAGCGGCAAGAGTTGTTGAAGGCACACCAGGAGAAGGGCGTGCTTCTCTTCCCCAGTGCGGGGGCCCACAGCTGTCCTTAGTATGTTACCTGCCAGGTGAACACTACACATCCATGCCACATTGTAACACCCACAGTTCCGTACCACAGAGCCTACCGCACACCCGGTAACTGTACGTGGGCCTGTGCCCGTGACACTGACCGAGGGCATGGCCTCACGAAGCCATGCAGACCAGCGGGCAACCCTGGCCCAGCCACTACAGGGGCCCCTGAGGCCCCTCCCAGAGGCTGTAATCTCCTGTCAGTGCCTCCTGTTGGAAGAAGAACAGTAGCAGAGAGCTACTAGCTGGGAGCTAGGAGGAGTCAGAAGGCTTGTCCTTCATCTGAGAAACCCTCTGACCACAGCGCTTAGGCAGCTTCCCTGGAGCTCAACGCTGAGGCAGCTCAGCCCTCCTCCTGATACTCGCATAGCTTAGAGATGCCCCTGCCACAGGGGTGAACCAAGGACATCCAGAAGACACGGGGCTCCTTTGAAGTCAGATTTTGTGGCAGGAGCAAAGGAAACGAGTGTCCATCCTTTGACAGGACACAAAGTGCCCTCTGCCCACCTGTCCTCAGTGTGAAGTGGACAGGACCCCTACATCCCATCCACCCCCGCTTCTCTGCTGTTCCACCTAGTGTAAGTCCAGGACGACCTCCATGCTGGACTAAGGGGCTACCCGTGGGGTGACCCACCCACCCGAGGTGCCCTCTTGAGGCAGGCTGCTGTGGGAAACCATAGGTTTCCATTACGTGCATGCTGCCATGAAGTAGCTGTCTTGGAGGGTGGGGTGGTTCTGTGCTGGCCAGAGGCTGGACAGCAGCTCTCCTGTGGGAGACAGATGTGCTCATTTCAATTCTCTTTTCAAGGATATGAAGTGGATTGAAGAGAAGCAAGCCCTGTATCGAAGAAATCAAGAGCTTGTAGACAAGGTGCGTCTTGGCCCGGTACATGAGTGTGCAGTAGTCCTGGGGCTGACACAGGCAGGCCTGGGCACAGGGCCCTCCGCCTGTCCATGGCTCACCCTGAGAAGTCCACGGAGCCCTGGTCCACTTCCTCCCTTCTGCTTCACCATTGAGCAAGGGCTGCATCTGTGGCATGCTATGCCATGCCACTCAGCTCCACAGAGGTGGGGGGGGGCGGCGGTTGAAGGTGCTGCCCTGTAGAACATGGCATTCTCTCTGGGTCAAGAAACATCTCAGACCAATGCCCCACATAGAGGCTGGACATCCTTAGGGTCAGGAAACATCTCAGACCAATGCCCCGTGTAGAGGCTGGGCATCCTCAGGGTCAGGAAACATCTCAGACCAATGCCCCGTGTAGAGGCTGGGTATCCTCAGGGTCAGGAAGTCTCACACTGATGCCACGTGTAGAGGCTGGGCATCTTTAGGGTCAGGAAATGTCTCACACCGATGCTCAGGGGAAGCACCATTTGAGGGCCCACCCTAGACCTGTGCTATTTCTAAGACATTGTATTCCTGACTGGGCTAGGGCAGCAGCCCTGGACCCAGGCTCTCTGGACCCCCAGGTGACAAGAGGCTCCAAGAATGCCATTCCTCACTGTCCCCCTGCCCCCTTCCAAATCCCTGCTCTGAGCTTTCAGGTTGGAAATGTTTTTCTGATTGAAATGAGTCAGAAAGTGTGTGGCGCAGTAGGCTGCGCTCATGACTGCTGTAAGGGGCCACCATACCGTCTCCAAAGCATGCACAGAATTATAGTCTAGGGGTGCATTATGTTCTGGGGGTGTCTGCTTCCTCTATGACCCCTTCCCTTTAATTCAGCCCACCCTCTGGTCTGGATTTAAGAGGGGTTCTGCAGTTCTGGGAGCCTTAGTCTGAGGGTGATTTGTTAGATGATAGTGGGCAGTTGGAGGCCATCCCAAGGGTATATGGAGACCCCAGAATGGTTGGGGCAGGGGGCGTGGAATGAGTCCAGAGGTAGGAAAGCCAGAGCTTGCTTAGGAGGCCTCTTCATCTCTGCACAGTACTGGTGTACACACGCCTAGTCAAGTGTACTTGAATAGAAACACACTTTATTTTATACACACTCAAGTGCTGGCATGCATGTGAAAATAGTTGTGTGTGAACTTAACCTATGCGCATTTATACAAATGCACTCCTAAGTGGATTTATGTGAATTTATACCCGTGTACAATCTCAGACATACACATAAGTACTGTGAGCACACAAATGCTTGTATGTGATCTTATACTGATATATACTCACACAGAGACACACACGTAGGTACTGTGTACACACAGGTCCTGGCGCTATTGGTGCCCCGCTGAAGCCGGTGGGGAAGTGCAGGCACCGGCCCTGGGAAGAGCACGGTGCTGGCTGGACAGGCTCCTCACAGGAGTCCTAGGCCCCCAAGTCCCAGGGCAGTGCCGCTGACCCCCAGGCTCAGAGCTGGGAGTGTGTGCATGTGAGTGTGTGTGCGTGTGTATGTATATGTGTGTGCACCACTTGCCCACAGAGGTCATGCTGTCCTCACGGGGCTGCCGAGGCCCTGCATCATGGGGCACTGGTTGCCCCACATCAAGTTTACTCATCACTCCCAGGGACTCCCTCTGTGAAAGCCCCACAATCAGCCAGCAGGTCAAGTGCAGGCAGCAGCATGGCCATGGTCAGACCCTGGCTCCAGGAGCTTAAGGAGTTTGGCCTTGGCATTGGCTGCATCTCTGCTCAGGGGTCCTGTTCACAGCACCCAGGCCCCAGCCTCCCTGCTGTGCTTAACCAAGGGGTAGAGATGTAGCTGAGTTCACAAGGACACTGAATGCTCAGGCCACATGTGCACCGGGGAGGCCTGATGTCCCCAGCCGCTGTCACCGTCACGGGTCTCTAGGGAGTGGAAAACACTCTCTTCTCACCTTATCTACCTTCTGCTTTCCAGATAAAACAGATGGAGACAGAAGAGAGCCGGCTGAAGCATGAAGTCCAGGATGCAAAGGACCAGAATGAGCTGCTGGAGTTCCGGATCCTAGAGCTCGAGGTAGGGCTGGCTGCAGGTAGTGCCCAAGCTGGGCAGAGAGGCCTCTAGTGACCAGAAGCTTGTCACCGGTGCCCTGTGCTCTGCTGTGACCCAGAGGGGAGGAGAGGAGGAGCCAGGCTCCTTGGGGGAAGTCAGACTGGAGGTCTGACTTTCCCTGTCCTTGGGGGTGAGGGGAGCTGGGCAGTGTGGGCTGAGTACCGAAGAAGCCCCACGTGGGTGCGGCCCTGCAGGTGGCACTCAGTCGCAGCCTTCCATCTTAGCCTGGTGGCAGCATGCCAAGTCCTCCGACTCACCGGGGTGCAGAGGCTCTGGCGGGCTCTGTGGGGATGGCCTTTGTGGACTGGGGCTCCTGCTCGTGGCCCTGCCTGGGAGGGCCATGAGTGTCACAGCTGGTGTCAGCCCTGTGGGTGACGCCCCACCCACAGTCTCTTCCCAAGCCTTCTGACAGTCCCTGGGCCTCACCCACAGAGGCACAAGTGAGGTCAGGGATGAGTACTCCGGGCCAGGGCTGGATGGAGCCAGGCTCCACAGGCCTGCCTGCCCGGGCTCCTCTAACGCATGACTTATCTCGTGCAACTATCTGAGGCCACTGGGGCTGCCTCAGGTGCGCTGCATTGACTCCCTCCGAGTTGTATGGTCCCGGCCAGTGTTACCCAAGCCTGGCACAGCCCCCAGGGGAAGGAGGAGATGGAGACAGAGGCCCATGCCCACACCCAGCCTCTGTCTCTCTTAGGAGAGGGAGAGGAAGTCGCCTGCCATCAACTTTCACCACACGCCTTTTGTGGATGGAAAGAGCCCTCTTCAGGTGTACTGCGAGGCTGAGGGCGTGACGGTAAAGCCCCCTCCCACCCCCGCCCTGCCCTGGCTGCCTGGTGGCTGCTCACACACCATCTTGTCCCTCTCTTTGCCTCCTAGGATATCCTGGTCACAGAGCTGATGAAGAAACTGGACATCCTGGGAGATAACGCCGTAAGTGTATGTTGCTCTCCTGACTTGTGCATGCCTCCCCATGCCAGTCCTCCCCAGCCCGGGGCCCTGGGAACCCCACAGAACCCCACCAGAGTCCAGGGCCAGAGCCTGCTCAAAATGGCCCCTGCACTGGGGAGGAGTCGGCTCCGCACTCACTGGGCTGCCCGTTGCACACACCCAGCCTCCAGATAATGATTCTTTCAGTCACGAGGTCTCAGTGTCTGGAATCACTCTTAGTATTTTTCCTCTTCCAGTCCCCCAGTGGAACAGGAAATATTGTTCTTAGACTATCCCAAGACTGTGTGGTTCCATTTCCTGAGTTTGAGAGAAGCAGCACAGGTCATAGATAATCACCAACTCTCATTTGAGTAGGGTTTAAATGTCATGGCAAGCTTCTCAAAGAGCACTAATTACCAAGTGGGCAAAAAGTACACCCTTTCATCTCCACTCCACGATTCCATCCATCCCTTATTACCTGCCCATCTATCCTCCATACAGCTTCCTCTGTCATTCACCCTTCCATCTACCCTTCATCCTCCATCCTCCATCCATCTATTCATCCATCTGTCCACCCATCCTTTATTATCTACCCATTTATCCTCCATCCTTCACCCTTTTATCCATCCTCCTCCAGCCTCCATTTATCCTCATCAATCTTCCATTTCTATTCATATCATTAACCCTCCACTAGTCCTCCAAGCATGCATTCATCCATCCTACATCCATCCCCCATTATTCACCCATCCATCCACCAGTCCTCTAGTCTCCATTCTGTACCAATAACCCCTCCGCTGATCTTCCATCCATCCATCCATCCATCCATCTACCCATTATCCATCCATCCATCCATCCATCCATCCATCCATCCATCCATCCATCCATCCATCCATTGTCTATCCATCATCCATCTATCATCCATCCATTTATACATCCATCCATCTATCCATCGTCTGTCCATTATCCATCTATCCTTCCATCCATCCATCCATCTTCCATTCTACATCCATCCATCCTTCATTATTCACCCATCCATCTGCCAGTCCTCCAGTCTCCATTCTGCATCATTAACCCTTCAACTGATCTTCCATCCATCCATCCATCCATCCATCCATCCATCCATCCATGGGGGGGGGCAGAGGCCAGGCAGGAAGCACTACCACTCAGGGGGCAGGGACTCAGGCAGGGAGCCCCACCACTCAGGGGGCAGGGACTCAGGCAGGGAGCCCCACCACTCAGGGGGCAGGGACTCAGGCAGGTAGCCCCACCACTCAGGGGATGGGGACTCAGGCAGGGAGCCCCACCACTCAGGGGGCAGGGACTCAGGCAGGGAGCACTACCACTCAGGGGCCAGGAGGCCATGCAGGGAGCACAGAGGGCAGAACGGGCCCTTCAGCTATTCTGACATCTGAGCTTTGGCCTGGCTTGGTGTTCAGGTAGACTCCTTCAGTCATCCTGAAGCCAGCTGCTCAGCCCCCTGCCCACCCATCCTGCCCATCAGTGTGTGCAGGGGAGCGCAGACTGTCCATCTCCTTCCTGGGAGGAAGGAGTGGGAAGCTGCCAGCTAGATTTGCAGCAGCAGCAGAGCTGAAGAGGGCAAAGGGGCTCCTGTCCACCCATGGAGGGTGGCACCAAGAACAGGGCCTGCCCGAGTCTGGGTGCCTCCTGCTGTGGGAAGTGCTTTCTGACTTTAGGCCTCACTCTCACTCTGGAGACGCCTGCCCTTAGAAAACTCACTGTCCAGGGAGGGTGGCAGGGACAGGGTTTCCTAAGCTACCTGGTCCCAAACCAGGGAAGTTCTGGGGGTGGAGTGAGTCCCATCCCCCCTGGTGCCTTGTGCACTAGGGCCAAGCAGGCAGACCTGACACCATAGGATTTAGGGTCTGAGCATGTGAGGGGTCCATATCCTTAGGGAGCCTCAGTTGGCTACAGAGCCAGGCTGACTCTCAAGGCTGCCTGCACAGAGTCCTGGCTCAGACAAAGACAGGGACAGGACAGGAGCTGCACTGGGAGCCCAGGAAGGCACTGTCCCCAAGGTGCAGCTGCCCACTTAAGACTTTGGAAGTTCCCAGGCAAAGAGAAGCAGACAGGGCCCCAAGTGGACAGGGTCAAGGGCAGAGGGCATCAGAGGTCTAAGTGGGGCATGCTGCTAAAAGTATCCTTCAGCTGCAGCCCCGCCCTGCCATGTCCAGCCATCACCCAGCCCTACACCCCCAGGACACTGCCCGTGACTGTGCCTGTGCTCTGCTTTTGTGCAGAACCTGACCAATGAGGAACAAGTGGTTGTCATACAAGCCAGGACTGTCCTGACCTTGGCAGAAAAGGTAACAGGGTGGGGAGGGAGGTGCAGGGTTGGGGCAGGGAATGGGGCTTAGTCCAGGCCAGCCCCCTGGAGCAAGGATGGGGTAGCAGCTGGGGGGAGGTGGTCCACTAAGTCCTGGCTGCCAGGGGAAGAAGGGCACATGCGGGTCAAGCGGCACCACCTGCGCCTCTGCGGAGGACAGAGTTAACCAGACATTACCCCAGTGCTCACTCTGGCTCGGTCTCTCGAGACTTATACAGAATCTACAAAACCATGACACTTCCTGTTCAGCTGGAGTGGGCCACCCAACTGGGCCCTGGTCCCACCCCAGACCAGCCCCACCTGCCACCAACCTCTAGCCACAGGGCAAGAGTGCCCCTGGCAAATGGAAAATAGGCCACCCACTTCTCCTGTCTGTTCCCGCACCCAAGCCAGCATCTGTGTCTCCCAGGGACAGTGTTATGGGAGACATCCTGACACCAGGTGGAGCCTACAATGCCAGCCCAGCCCCGGTCCCCTCCCAGGCCATCTCTGTGAAGCAGAGAAAGGCATGCATCAGGACCTGTGTGGCTGGCCCTAGGCCTCACTCATCTCACCTTTCTGTGCCCAGTGGCTGCAGCGGATTGAAGAGACGGAGTCAGCCCTCCAGCGGAAGATGGTGGACCTGGAAAGCGAGAAGGTGGGTGGCATCTCCTATGCCCGTGGCTGGCACTGTCAGGTCAGATGCCCACGGCTGAGACCAGTCCTCTGTGTTTCAGGAGCTGTTCAGTAAACAGAAGGGCTACCTGGACGAGGAGCTGGACTATAGGAAGCAGGCCCTGGACCAAGCCCACAAGGTGGGAGAAATGAGGCCAGGAATTTGGTTCTTTGCCCTGTGGTGTGCCAGGGGCCTGACGGACCAGGCCCTGGAGCCCTGGGGAGTGCCAGGGCTCAGTGTGGCTCTCTGCCTCTCCCTGAGATCCCTCAATGTCAGCTCTGAGGACATTTCACTGTTGTGCTAGCAAACACTCCAACAGCACAGGCACATGAGAACTCACATAAAAGCGTGAGATGCATTTGTTAAATAAAATTCACTGAAAAATAGCATACTTGGAGACTAGTCCACTGCCAGACACAGCTGACTGTAAGGATCACGTTCTCCAGGAAGCCCTGCCCATACTCATCTAACACAGAGAGACACAGGTTTGGCCTGTGCAGTGCTTTGGGCTGCTCTGTGGGAGATGTTTCTCCACTCTCCGCTGTACACGAAGAAGCAGAAATGCCTCTGTGTTCTGCTGCTGGAGGCAGAGCTGGAGGCTCAACGCCCAAGATGGGACAGCACCACCTGCTGGGCTCTGGTCCAGCCCAGCCCAGCATCACCTGGGTGCAAGGGAGAGATCACATGATCTCAGGAAGCCTGTGGGAATGACCGTATCACCCAGTGAGCTGTGGTCTCCCACCAGGTCCCCTTGGAAGGCACCGTCATGCCGGGGAGCAAACTTCTATCCACAGCCTTCCAGGGCACTGACCACACCCAATCCACATGAAACTAGTTCTGTCACCATGAACTTGCTCTCACCGACCCCAGCATGGGAATGTGATTCCCATGTGCTGCTGGGTGTCTGTGTGAGCTGCTGCCTCCTTCTCATGCTGTCATGGGAGGGAGGGCACAGCCAGAGGGGTGCAGACCCTGGTCTGATAGCAGACAAGCGTCACCAAGACATGTTCCCAAGCGCCCACCCATCAGGCAGGGTCCTAACCATCATTCATGGGGACACCTGAAAATGCGCACTTTTGCTGCCCTGTTCAAGCAGTGCGCTCTCAGGGTGACGTGGATGAGGATGATGGTGGTGGAGGTGGCAGTGGAAAGGCTGTAACCATGGTGACGGTGGTGGTGGAGGTGGCAGTGGTAATGCTGGTAAAGGCTGTGACCCTGGTGACGGTGGTGGAGGTGGCAGTGGTAATGCTGGTAAAAGCTGTGATCATGGTGACGGTGGTGGAGGTGGCAATGGTAATGCTGGTAAAGGCTGTGACCGTGGTGATGGTGGTGGTGGTGGAGGTGGCAGTGGTAATGCTGGTAAAGGCTGTAACCCTGGTGATGGTGGTGGAGGTGGCAGTGGTAATGCTGGTAAAGGCTGTGACCATGGTGACGGTGGTGGTGGAGGTGGCAATGGTAATGCTGGTAAAGGCTGTAACCATGGTGATGGTGGTGGTGGAGGTGGCAGTGGTAATGCTGGTAAAAGCTGTGACCATGGTGACGGTGGTGGAGGTGGCAATGGTAATGCTGGTAAAGGCTGTGACCGTGGTGATGGTGGTGGTGATGGAGGTGGCAGTGGTAATGCTGGTAAAGGCTGTGACCCTGGTGACGGTGGTGGAGGTAGCAATGGTAATGCTGGTAAAGGCTGTGACCATGGTGATGGTGGTGGTGGTGGAGGTGGCAGTGGTAAGGATGGTAAAAGCTGTGACCATGGTGATGATGGTGGTGGAGGTGGCAATGGTAATGCTGGTAAAGACTGTAACCATGGTGATGGTGGTGGTGAAGGTGGCAATGGTAATGATGGTAAAAGCTGTGACCATGGTGACGGTGGTGGTGGAGGTGGCAGTGGTAATGCTGGTAAAGACTGTAACCATGGTGATGGTGGTGGTGGTGGAGGTAGAGGTGGCAATGGTAATGCTGGTAAAGGCTGTAACCATGGTGACGGTGGTGGTGGTGCAGGTGGAGGTGGCAATGGTAATGCTGGTAAAGGCTGTGACCGTGATGACTGTAGTGGAGGTGGAGGTGGCAGTGGTAATGCTGGTAAAGGCTGTAACCACAGTGACGGTGGTGGTGGTGCAGGTGGAGGTGGCAGTGGTAATGCTGGTAAAGGCTGTGACCGTGGTAACAGTGGTGACCGTGGTGGTGGTGATGATGGTGAAGGTGGTGGTGATGTTGAAGATGGTGATGGTGACAATAGAAGTAATGATGGTGAATTAGTGATAATGGTGATAGTAGTGATAATAATGAAGGTGCTGATGGAGATGATTGTGGTGATGATAATGAGGATGGCTGTAATAATGGTGATGATGAAAGGAAGGTGGTTGTAATGATAGTGATGATGGCTGCCCATTTTGTGGTACAATCCTAGTTTTAAAAATTCACTGTGAGCTGGGGCCCAGTGGCTCACACCTGTAATCCTAACTACTCAGGAGGCTGAGATCTGAGAACCATGGTTCCAAGCCAGCCTGGGCAGGAGAGCCCATGAGACTCTTATCTCCAGTTAACCGCCAAAACAAACAAACATCTGAAAGCAGAGCCATGGCTCCGTGGTAGAGCTCCAGCCTTGAGCAAAAAAAGCTCAGGGAGGGCTGGGAAGGTGCTCAGTGGTAGAGCTCCAGCCTTGAGCAAAAAAGCTCAGGGAGGGCTGGGAAGGCGGCTCCGTGGTAGAGCTCCAGCCTTGAGCAAAAAAGCTCAGGGAGGGCTGGGAAGGTGCTCAGTGGTAGAGCTCCAGCCTTGAGCAAAAAAGCTCAGGGAGGGCTGGGAAGGCGGCTCCGTGGTAGAGCTCCAGCCTTGAGCAAAAAAGCTCAGGGAGGGCTGGGAAGGTGCTCAGTGGTAGAGCTCCAGCCTTGAGCAAAAAAGCTCAGGGAGGGCTGGGAAGGTGCTCAGTGGTAGAGCTCCAGCCTTGAGCAAAAAAGCTCAGGGAGGGCTGGGAAGGTGCTCAGTGGTAGAGCTCCAGCCTTGAGCAAAAAAAGCTCAGGGAGGGCTGGGAAGGTGCTCAGTGGTAGAGCTCCAGCCTTGAGCAAAAAAGCTCAGGGAGGGCTGGGAAGGCGGCTCCGTGGTAGAGCTCCAGCCTTGAGCAAAAAAGCTCAGGGAGGGCTGGGAAGGTGCTCAGTGGTAGAGCTCCAGCCTTGAGCAAAAAAAGCTCAGGGAGGGCTGGGAAGGTGCTCAGTGGTAGAGCTCCAGCCTTGAGCAAAAAAGCTCAGGGAGGGCTGGGAAGGCGGCTCCGTGGTAGAGCTCCAGCCTTGAGCAAAAAAGCTCAGGGAGGGCTGGGAAGGTGCTCAGTGGTAGAGCTCCAGCCTTGAGCAAAAAAGCTCAGGGAGGGCTGGGAAGGCGGCTCCGTGGTAGAGCTCCAGCCTTGAGCAAAAAAGCTCAGGGAGGGCTGGGAAGGCGGCTCCGTGGTAGAGCTCCAGCCTTGAGCAAAAAAGCTCAGGGAGGGCTGGGAAGGCGGCTCCGTGGTAGAGCTCCAGCCTTGAGCAAAAAAGCTCAGGGAGGGCTGGGAAGGTGCTCAGTGGTAGAGCGCTTGCCGTGCATGCACAAGGCCCTGGGTTCCATTCCTCAGCACCACATAAGCAGAAAAAGCCGGAAGTGATGCTGTGGTTCAAGTGGTAGAGTGCTCGCCTTGGCTGAAGAGCTGAGGGACAGCGCCCAGGCCCAGAGTTCAGGCCCCAGGAATCTCACACACACACACACACAAAGTCTCCATGTAAGCACAACTATCTTTGCTGTACAATTTGACTTTGCTCCATCTTACTATCTTATCTGTCCTAAGAGTGACTCAGAGCAGTCCCAGGCCACCTTAGATGAGCAGCAGTGAGTGGATCCGTGGGACTTTTTCTATGCCATCTGCTCATGGACTTGCAGGAAGATGGCTGTATGTCCGATGACCCTGCTTAGGCTCACTCTGGTATAAACCTTGCTTCTGCCAGAGGCTGCTGGGGCAGGCTGTGTATGCTCGGTAAAGGTAGAGACAGTCCCCCTGGTCCTGTGCTTGGGCACACTGTCTGCAGAGAGGGTCCTGTGGAGGTCTCCATTGCAGGTGGATGCGAAGGCTCTGTGATGTTATTTCCAGGGCCAAATTCATCTTGAAAAGCTGGAACTCGGGGGTTGTGTTGGGGCATAGTGGCTGGTGCTTGCCTGGCAGGCTTGAGGCCCCAGGTACAGTCCCAGCACCAGTAAGCAAATACACAAATAACAACAGGCTGGGTGTCAGGCACGCGGGTGTTTGTCTCTGAGAAGCAGCAGCTGCTGTGCGAGTGTGAGCGAGCATGACACTGGACAGTTCCTTATGTGGCAGTCTGGAGCAGTACAAGGCATCACAGTCAAATATGGCTTTGCTTCATTTCCTAAGTTCTTACCAAGTCAACGGGCATTTCATAGTTACTAAAGAAAGCAGAACCTCCATTTCTGAATATGTTACGATTCTAATGGGAAGAGGGACCCTCAAAACGAGAGTTTTGATGAGTTTGAGAATTTAGTTTTTGCAAATGTTATGTCAAACTTTTCCTGAAGAGAAAGTTTACAATGACTCCTCAGCCAGGTGTGGTGGTGTACTGCTATAGTCCCCACTACTCACACAACCAGAGTACTGCTCACCAGCGACACACCCTGAGGAGGTACAAAGGCTGTGTCACTGCTGAGTGTGGCATGGGCACCATCTTCCCTGCATGCCAGCCTCAGTCCTCCACTGGGTTTTGGGAAGGGGGAGGGATAATCCCAGCCCAGTCCTTTCCTGTCTGTGACGTTGGGGCCCCCTGTGCTCCCAGCCAGGACTCCAGCTGGGGCCCTGTGGTTCAGAACTAGTCCTTCTCCACTTTCCGTACCAGGACACAGCCTGGCCTGGGCCTCGTCCTAGTCAGCCTCTCTCCTTCTAGGATGTTCTGCTGGCTAGGGAAGTGGGGGGGTCTCTGGTCCCCAGATGCCTGTGTACCTCCTCCCCCAGTGGAGGGTGTCTTGGCCTCTAGGGGGCCCTTCCTGAAGTCCAGTTGGAGCAGGGTGGCTGGGGCATGGAGGGGAAGATTAACACCCCTCCCCTCGCACCTCCCCCAGCGCATCCTGGAGCTGGAGGCCATGCTGTGCGATGCCCTGCAGCAGGAAGCCGGGGCCAAAGTGGTGGAGCTGCTGTCGGAGGAGGAGCGGGAGAAGCTCAAGGTGGCCATGGAGCAGTGGAAGCGCCAGGTCATGAGCGAGCTGCGGGAACGAGACGCACAGATCCTGCGGGAGCGCATGGAGCTGCTGCAGATGGCACAGCAGGTGCTGGGCAGGTGCCAGGGTGACCAGGGAGGGCAGGGAGGCTGCGGAGGAGCAAGGGGTGCCAGGTGGGAGGCAGGCAAGGCTACTTCCCAAAGCCCAGCTTTCTACCCGGATCGCCACCCCTCCCATGTCCACCCCTCCCACGTCCACAGCTCCCACGTCCACCCCTCCCACGTCCACAGCTCCCATGTCCACCCCCCATGTCCACAGCTCCCACGTCCACACCTCCATGCCCATACCTCCATGCCCACAGCTCCCATCTCCACCCCTCCCATGTCCACACCTCCCACGTCCACAGCTCCCACGTCCACAGCTCCCATGTCCACAGCTCCCATGTCCACCCCCCATGTCCACAGCTCCCACGTCCACACCTCCATGCCCATACCTCCATGCCCACAACTCCCATGTCCACCCCTCCCATGTCCACACCTCCCACGTCCACAGCTCCCACGTCCACAGCTCCCATGTCCACAGCTCCCATGTCCACCCCTCCCACGTCCACACCTCTACGTGCACACCTCCACGTCCATACCTCCATGTGCACACCTCCATGTGCACACCTCCACATCCATGTGCACACCTCCACATCCACACCTCCACGTCCACACCTCCATGTGCACACCTCCTTGTCCACACCTCCACGTGCACACCTCCACGTGCACACCTCCACGTGCACACCTCCATGTCCACATCCACACCTTCACGTGCACACCTCCATGTCCATACCTCCACATGCACACCTCCACGTGTACACTTCCACGTGCACACCTCCATGTCCACACCTCCACATTCACACCTCCACGTCCATACCTCCATGTCCACACTTCCACATCCATACCTCCACGTCCACACTTCCACATCCACACATCCACGTCCACACTTCCACATCCACACCTCCATGCCCACACCTCCACATGCACACCTCCATGCCCACACCTCCACATTCATGCCTCCACATTCACACCTCCATGTCCACACCTCCACATTCACACCTCCACATTCACACCTCCACATTCACACTTCCACATCCACACCTCCACATTCACACCTCCACATTCACACTTCCACATCCACACCTCCATGTCCACACTTCCACATCCACACCTCCACGTGCACACCTCCACATCCACACCTCCACGTCCACACTTCCACATCCACACCTCCATGTGCACACCTCCACATGCACACCTCCATGCCCACACCTCCACATTCACACCTCCACATTCACACCTCCACGTGCACACCTCCACATTCACACCTCCACATCCACACCTCCATGTGCACACCTCCACATTCACACCTCCACATTCACACCTCCACGCCCACACCTCCACATTCACACCTCCACATTCATACCTCCACATCCACACCTCCATGCCCACACCTCCACATCCACACCTCCACATCCACACCTCCACATTCACACCTCCACATCCACACCTCCACATCCACACCTCCACATTCACACCTCCACATCCACACCTCCATGTCCACACTTCCACATCCATACCTCCACATCCACACCTCCACATTCACACCTCCACATTCACACCTCCACCTCCACACCTCCACATTCACACCTCCACATCCACACCTCCACATTCACACCTCCACATCCACACCTCCACATTCACACCTCCACATTCACACCTCCATGTCCACACTTCCACATCCACACCTCCATGTACACACCTCCACATTCACACCTCCACATCCACACCTCCATGTCTACACCTCCACATTCACACCTCCACATCCACACCTCCATGTCTACACCTCCACATTCACATCTCCACATCCACACCTCCACATTCACACCTCCACATCCACACCTCCATGTCCACACTTCCACATCCACAGCTCCATGTGTACACCTCCACATTCATACCTCCACACCCACACCTCCACATTCACACCTCCATGCCCACACCTCCACATTCACACCTCCACATTCACACCTCCACGTTCACACCTCCACATTCACACCTCCATGCCCACACCTCCACATCCACACCTCCATGCCCACACCTCCACATCCACACCTCCATGCCCACACCTCCACATTCACACCTCCACATTCACACCTCCATGCCCACACCTCCACATCCACACCTCCACGCCCACACCTCCACATCCACACCTCCACATTCACACTTCCACATTCACACCTCCACGCCCACGCCTCCACATTCACACCTCCACGTGCACACCTCCACATTCACACCTCCACATTCACACCTCCACGCCCACACCTCCACATTCACACCTCCACGCCCACACCTCCACATTCACACCTCCACATTCACACCTCCACATTCATACCTCAATGCCCACACCTCCACATTCACACCTCCACATTCACACCTCCACGTCCACACCTCCACGTCCACACCTCCACGTCCACACTTCCACATCCACACCTCCATGTACACACCTCCTGTACACACCTCCACGTCCACACCTCCACATCCACACCTCCTGTACACACCTCCATGTCCACACCTCCATGTCCACACCTCCATGTCCATACCTCTACGTGCACACCTCCACGTCCACACCTCCACGTCCACACCTCCACATCCACACCTCCATGTACACACCTCCACGTCCACACCTCCACATTCACACCTCCACGTGCACACCTCCACATTCATACCTCCATGTACACACCTCCTGTACACACCTCCACATCCACACCTCCATGTCCATACCTCTACGTGCACACCTCCACATTCACACCTACATGTACACACCTCCTGTACACACCTCCACGTCCATACCTCCATGTCCACACCTCCATGTCCACACCTCCATGTCCACAGCTCCCATGGCTATGCTTTCAATGGCCACAACTTTAGTGAACATGCCTCTAATAGCCATGCCCCTGGTGGCCACACCTCCAATGGCCATGCCTCACATTGCCAGGCCAAGTCCCAGGCCTCCTGGTAGACTGTCCCCTAGACTATTCTCTTAGCCTCCAGCTGGTACTGCTGAGGACTCTGGGTGGCAGTGGCCCTGTGTGGTCTCCTCCATGGAAGGTTCTTTTCAAAGTGAGGGTGTTGTCTGGAGAAGGAGGCTGACAGGCCCAGCTTGGTTCTTGGAGGAGGCAGGCTCGAGCCCCTGGTGTTTCCGACACTGCTCTCTGTGTACGAGCTTGGCCTGGACGTGGCTTGTAAATATGAGCTCCGCATTGTGAACACCCTAAGTGCAGAAACAGTGCTGATTCAGATGGATAGATGCCCACACGAGTGCACTGCTTTACTGTGGCAGCAGCTGCTTCTGACAATGGGCCTGTCAGCTGCTGGGCATGGACTGCTGGCCACTCTGTTTGTTGGCGCCCTCCCCTAGGGCCCCCATGGTGTCCAGGGAGGTGGGGGCAGGGACAGTCAGCTGCAGCCCTCTTGCTTGGTCACACGCGTGTGCCTCCAGGCCCCAGGGCTCACCCTTGGGGCCATTCTCCTGTGGTTGGCAGTGTCACACAGTCAGTGTGACCTCTGACTGCCCTTTACTCTAAGGTAATGACCTGGAGGAACTCAGACTAATTCCCTGCTGCCCCTGGCATTATAACTCTGGCCTGAGGAGTCAGGAGGATAGATCCTGCCACCAGGAGGTGTGGCCCTGGGAAGGTGGTCTGCCCTCTTTGGAGAAAAGCATTAACTGGGGACAGCCGCAGGCCTCGGGAACTGGCCGCGACCCGACCAGCACCCCAGCACTCCTGCTACTTGTCTGCCATATAAGCAAGGGAAACTTGAAAGACATTCTGTTGTTGTTTGGTTTCCTGGATATTTTGAGTATTGAAGGTTTTCCTCCTTTTTAACATTGCAGAGAATAAAAGAGTTAGAGGAATGGATAGAAACTCAGAAGAGACAAATAAAGGAGCTGGAGGAAAAGGTAATGTAATGAATTTTCAGGCTTGTCTTGCCAGTGGTGCTTATAGATAAGAGCATGAGATAACTCCCTGCTGGGCACACCCAGCTCTGGGCTGACAGGGGTGGTCTGGGAGAGCTCTCCATGAGGCTGTGCAGAAGGAGGTGCTGGGCTAAACTTAAGGGCTCTGAGCCCGAGCCAGGCGCCCCTCCCATAGCCCAGTTCTGTGGCTTCACATTGCCTCAGTTTCCCCATCTATAGGTTGGACCAGTGTGCTGGTGCCCTCTCCATGCCAATGCTCTGGGCGGGGCAGGAGCATGTAACCCTCCAAGTTAGCCAAGCTTGTGTGAAGAGCAGCTTTGACACATGGGTGTGGCCCCCGGAGCCTCACAGGGCAGCAAAGACTTCCTTGGGGTTCTGCCACCTCCATGTCCAGGAACTCCGAGGGCTGCCATGACCAGGGCTTGGGCCACATGCTCAGGGGTCTTTCTCTGAATCCTTAGTTCATGTGTGTCGACAGAGCCAGAACCTCCTGGGGCAAGATGAAGGGCTTGTGGCCAGGCAGCCCGGCAGCCCTGGTACTGGCCAGCGTTCTGGCCACTCTTTCCCTCTAAGACCAGGGTTGGTTCGGAGGCGTCGAGTCGCGTGTTTTCTCAGTTCTTGTGACTGGTCCTGCCTGTGAGGTGGATCTCACCAAGTGACCAGCTGAGTGAGGAGGCTGCTGGGCTCTCCTGCCTCCTTGTCCTCTTGAGACCACCGGAGGAGGTCAGTCCATCTGCCTGCCCTAGGAAGAGGCAGCAGATGCCCTCTGCTTTCAGGGAGAGACAGCCTCTGGACACCCATCCCCAGACCTGCCCTGCCCTGTCATCACCAATGACCCTCTGTCGTCTGCTGGCACTTGGCTGCCACATGGGCAGCAGTCCTATAAACCCCTCTGAGGAGCAAAGCCTAGAGCCAACCCAGGCACAGCCTGCAACATGAGCTTCCAACGGGGGCTGGGCCACTGCTGACACTGGGTCACACGGCAGGCACACCAGGGGCTTGACTAGTGAGGATGGGGACACTGGGGGGGACAAACCTCAGAGAGGCTAAGGCCTACCCCTAGGCCATTCTTCACACCCAAGCCTGACTGCACTGTTGCTAAGCAGTTGAAGAGCTCTAAGCTAGGAGTTTAATTTTCTGACTTAGCTCATTTCCAAGCATGGGTACTGCTGCCAGATTTTCTCCAGGGTTCAAGTTGTCCTGGTCCCACCCCCAGCTCAAATGATGCTTCAAGGGTCAGATCTGTCCAGGGCACCAGTGAGCTTTGTTACCTAGCAGAGAAGGGCAGCCCAAGCACGGACACAGGCACTTGAAAGAACTCCCGTGAGGCTTTTGTCCTCCTGTGCCAGGTAGAGTGCTCTCCATGGACGGGCAGGGATTCTCGGGTCTTTCTTGCCATGGAGCTTATAGATGAAGTAGCATGAGGCAACTCCCGCCTGAACGCACCCCACCCTCGGCCCTGGGCAGCCAAGAGAAGCAGGTGGGCCGAGAGATCCGCAGCCCGCCCGGACAGTGCCGAGAGCCCCAGCATCCCTGAGGGCATCCCTCGGTACTGTCACCCCGACCCAAGATGCTTGCAGTGTCCCTGGCCCTGTCCTGGCCATGCCTGCTCTGCCCAGCCAGCCACCCTATCTGTACTTTGTCACTTCTTGCTGGAAATGCTACAACTCTTTTTTCTTTCTCTTTCCTCTGTCTCTCCATCCTCCCCTTTGCTTTTCAGTTTTTATTTTTGTTCTTGTTCTTCTCCCTAGCGTTCATTCTCTGGTCATAGCTGCTCTTGGCCCTCTGTCCTGGTGAGTACATCTCGGGCTGGGTTTCCCACGATGGCGCTCCTCTTCCAGAGAGACCTACCTGTTGCAATCTGAGAAGCAGGGGCTGCCCTGTCGGGCTTCCAGAGGCTTGGGGAAGATGCCAGTGCTCTCGAGAGCGACAGCTCTTCCCTGTGAGGTGGCCTGGAGGAGGCCTCAGTGCACCAATGCAGGGGTGGGCACCGGCTCGGGAGCAGAGCACGAAGATAGATGATTGATCACTTAGTTCGTGCCAGTACTGTGGCTTGAACTCAGGGCTTGAGCGCTGTCCTTTAGCTTTCTTTGCTTAAAGCTGGCGCTCTACTACTAGAGCCATAGCTCTACTTATGGCTTTTTGCTGGTTAATTGGAGAGAAGAGCTTCATGGACTTCCCTGCCAAGCCTGGCTTTGAACTGCAACCCTCAGATTTTGGCCTCCTTAGTAGCTAGGACTACAGATGTGAGTCACCAGTACCTGGCTATGAAGATAGTTTTGAGATTTTCCTTGGTCCTCTGGGACTTGAGTCCCTAGGTCCCCTGGGGCCTACCCACATGCACGGAAGGTACTAGCATGCATGGGCCTTCTACTGGCCTGCACACAGGCCACAGGCCTGGCTTGGTCACTGCCTCCGGCAATGCCAGAGAGGCCCGGGTCCCAGGCCTCAGGCCTACCCTCCAGAAGGTGCTGAGGGGGCATTTCCTGGGAGCAGTGGTCATGCGGGTAACCCCCAGCCCTCTCACTCTGCTCCCTGCCTTTTCTTCCAGCGCCCACAGGTTTGGACCCCGTCCTCCAGTGGGACTGGAGAGTGGTGGGTGTCAGTGGCCGCGTGGGATGTTGTACCTTATCCTGATGACCAGGAGGGCCTCGGCTCTGTGAGTCCACCCTGTGGAAGACGAGGAGATGGGGCTCCAAACGTGGCCCGCTGTCCATGTGACATGAGCCAGAACCGGAACTGGTATTGTGGCCTAGTGCTTCTCTGGGAGTGGCCTGGCCTCGGCTGCTGGACCTTGGAACCTGTCCTCACAGGTGACAGCCCAGTCTTGGGGGACATGTGCCATCCCTGGCATGCAGGGCAAGAGCTCTCCCCTGTGGAGCCACTCCTTGGTAACTGTCGATTGCTTGGAACCCATACACCCTTGTGCCTGGGGACAAGATGAAGGCTGTGACCTCGGGGACCTTCATCACGAACGGCCCGTGACACCGCAGGTGCATGCCTGAGGCCGAGACTCACTCAGGTCCTGAGGAGTGGCTGCTGGACAGCACTGCAGCCAGCCTGTCCTGTTCTGTGTCATTGTCATGAGGACAAGTGAGAGTCATGGCCTCATTACCCCACCCTGAGCCGTGAAGGCCCCGGTCCCACGGGCAAGCTGCTGGCCAAGAGCACAGTGGGATGGCCGGAAGAGGGACCGAGAGTGCAGTCGGGGTGCGATGTGAACATGGGAACCTCAGCAAAGGAGCCAGACCCTAGAGAATGCAGAAGCAGCAAGGATCCAGAAACCATGGCACCGCCAGACTGGGGGCCTCCCAGCAGGTGGGCTGAGAGCGCACACAGCCATGCTGGCCAGGGATGGCCCTGCTTGGGGCCCAGGTGAGAAGAGCAGAGCATGTGGTCTACGGATAAGAAAGGACCGGTGGCCTGCCGGTGAGTGTCCTCTCCACTGGGGCCTGTCACTCCCTCCCTGTGGTGGCCGCACTGGGATGAGTGTGCCTTGCAGTGTGGTGGTGTTTCCCCTGCAGGCACCGGGTCTGCGTCAGCTCCCCCGGGACACGGCCTGCACACAGGCAGTGCCACCTCCTTCCTCATGCTGACCTAGATGCCCAGGCACTTCGAGCACCTCTGTGGAGCCCCCTGCGCTGCCAGGCCAGGACCCTGCTGCTGGGGAGCCTCTGAAAGGGGAAGCTCTTACGGGAAGGCTCCCAGGATGGTCTGTGCCTGGACCCTCACCCCACATGCAGAGGGCCTGCCCAGAACCCACACAGCAATGAACAAGGCCTCGCCATAGACAGGAAGCCCCGCCCCAAGGCACCAGGGCCCCGCCCCAGCCCACCCCACTCCACAAGCACGGAAGCACTGCAGGTGTGGGCAGAACGGTTTCCCCTCCACCGTTAGATGACGCTCATTCTGAGCGCAGCTTCTCTGGGCCCTGAGAAGAAGTGGGGTAAGTCAGCCACATCTGGCCCTGTTCTGGCCCTGTGGGGAGACGGCAGGGAGGCCAGGGGGACTCAGGCTTTCACCCTGGGCTCTGTCTGCATGAGGCAGAGGCTGTCCAGGAGGATGCCTTGTCAGCTGCCAGCTCCCTGGAAAGGGCCCTCTGACCAAACTGGCAGCAGGCTGTAGGGGGCGTGGCTGGGCCTGGGCTCTGACCAACCTGGCAGCAGGCTGTAGGGGGCATGGCTGGGCCTGGGCTCTGACCAACCCGGCAGCAGGCTGCAGGGGGCGTGGCTAGGTGTGGCCTCTGCCACTGTGCCCTGCTCAGGGTCAGCTTCCCACAGCCTATGAGTGGCAGCAGCCTACAGGGTGTGGAGGTGAGCTGTCCCACTGAGGTTTCCTTCCTGCCACAGTTAGAGGAGCGTGGCAGGAGCTTGGGCTGTGGGCACAGAGACAGGACGGTGTGGACATGGCACACTGCGGCAGCTGTCACATGCCAGGGTGGTAGAAGCCAGTTCTCTCATGGCCCAGGCTGGCCAGGGCATGCACAGAGACCTTACTCAGAAAGTAGTTAAAGCAAGAAGGGCTGGGGGTGTGGCTCAAGCAGAGCACCTGCCTAGCAAGCGTGAGACCCCAGTACTGAAAAGAGAGAACAAAAGGCCACAGGAAGCTCCCTTGGTGGGCTGAGCAGGGCTTTCCAGAATGCCCAAGGGCTGCTGTTCTAGCTGCCTGTGGCTAGAGCAGGAAGAAGTCGGGGAGAGGCACCTTGCCTCCTGGCACCATCCCCAGAGGCACGTCTTGCATGATGATATGGTTGTCAGAGAGGCCCGAGTCCCAGGTACAAAGTGGCCTGTGGTCTCTGTGCTCCTCTGTGGGCAGAGAGCTTGCTCAGAAGGCTGCTGGCCCAGCCCAGCAGAGACACCACTGTGAGCCACATGGGGGCGCTCCAACCCAACAGGCCCTGCAGGGCTGAGCGGCACTGGCAGCCAGTCACTGGTGCTGCCTTCAGGAGTACATGCTGGCTGCACAGCTACTTGCTGGGTAAGGCAGTCCCAATCTCAGATGCTTGCACTCCCAGCCCACTGGTCACCCATCTATGGTTAGCACCAGGCTGCCTGCCTGTGCAGACACAGCTGCTGGGGCCCCTCTGCCACCACCATTCCACCCTCCCTGTGGCCAGGCAGCTGCTCTAGGGCTTGCCTTAAGCTGAGCAGGTTGTAGGTGGAGAGGCGTTCGGTGAGGAAGACTGGGAGATGGGCAGGTCTGGGCAGGTGCCCCTTTGCTGACCTCTAGGGCCTGGACATTGATGGATAGACTCCCTGACCCAGAGCTGACCCAAACCCTGCCCCACCCCCAGGATGCTGGGGTGGCCAAGGGAGGGGACACACATTGCTTGGGAGGACATTTGGGAGTCACAGGTACAGCTGAGGCAGGGTGGGAGGCTAGATCTCGGCCTCTGGGCTGGCTGGCTACAGAGTAACCCCATGGCCTAATCCTAACCCCTAACCTTAGCTCTAAACTTGGGATCAATCCCAAGAAAGGCAGGGGGGTGGGTAGACACAAGCTCTCTATACCATGTGTGACTTATTATGGGAGTGGTCATCTTCTCACCTCCTCATAGAGCTTGGACGTACATATATGTGCACTAACCTAGCCACATCTGCTTACCTGTCCCTCATTTGCCTATTTATCATCTGCCGTCCATCTATCATCTATCTTCTTCTTATTTACCTTATCTATCATCTGTCTAGCCATCAACAATCAATCTACCACTTTTGTGAGCTCATAATGATGCCTCCATTTCTAGCCAACAGCACCTGGTTTGTGCATTTCCTTTTCCTTACTCCCAGCATCTTTCTTGGACGGTGGTGGGACATGGAGATCTCACGGTCTGCAGTATATTTGCCTCTCTGTTCAGCCCTAGATCGAAACAGGGTCATTTCAGACCGGCTCGGCCCTGCCCTGTGCTCAGGCACAGTTTTGACTGTTCTTTGTCTCACAGGATCCATATCTTCCTCCTGTGCTTTCCCAGGTCTCTGGGGATGGTGGCCGGGTGTCACCGCACCCAGCCATTGGTTGAGATGGACTCTGGCCTTTCTTTTTGTTTCAATGGCTTGAATCACAATCCCCTATCGATGCCTCCCTATAGGCTGGAGGCACCACATCTGGCTTCAAACTTCTCCCAGTTTTGGATTGGGTTGCTTTTTTTCTTGTTATGGAGTTTTGAGTCTCCTTTATATATTCCAGGTACATTCGTTTACTTATTATCTATAAGCTCCAGACCTTCTTTTGTCTTTTTATTCCCTTTAAAGTATCTGATAAAGCTCTTGATTTTGATGAAGTTTCATTTATCAAGTTTTTTGTTGGTGGTGATCATGGGGCTTGAACCCAGAGCTTGGGCACTGTCCCTGGACATTTTTTGCTCAAGGTTAGTACTCTGCTACTTTGAGCCACAGCTCCATTTCCAGTTTTTAGGTGGTTAATTGGAGATAAGCCTTTCCTGCTTGAGCTGGCTTTGAACAATGGTCCTTAGCTCTCAGCTCCTGAGTAGGCAGGATTATAGTTATGAGCCACCAGTGCCGGCTCATTTATCAACTTTTTTAAAATTATGCTTTTTGGTCTTGGAATAGGACATCCTGTTTTGCTCTAAATCACACATATTATCCCATGTTTCTTTCCATAATGTTATGACTTTTGCAATTACATGTGGAATCTCAGTGGTTCATTTTGAGCTAAGTCTTGTCTGTGAGCAGGGGGTTGACGTTCATTTCTTGTGGTGTCCTTGTCTCCCGCACCCATTGTAAAGAACTTCCTCCAGATCCTCAGCTCCTCAGT